TATTGAATGGTAATGTATTTACGCGTTTTAAGTCGCGTACATTTTTTTTTTTTAAATGTAAAATCTGACTATAAACAAATTGATTTTTTTAAATTATTAGATTTTCCTGAATACCTTAAAACTATTGGTATGGAACAATATGCGCCCCTGTTTGCAGGAAAGAATTGGAAAGAAATTATTGATATGGATCATAAAGATTTGAAAGCTTTAAAGATCGAATCTGTCAGTCACAGAATAGACATGGTTAAAAAATTCTGGGTCATGAGGCGTAAAATCGTACGTGATCCATTTTTTTATTTATTAATTTATTTAATTATTCATCGCGTCTTTATAACTAATAATTAAATTTTTATTCTTTAGTATCATACGAAAAGGGTTAATAAATGTGTATTGATTCCTTCTAAAAAAAGAACAAAAATCCCTGACGTCATTTCCGATTTTGAAGATCCAAAGGAAGATCTAAAGGAAGATCCAAAAGAAGATCTAAAGGAAGATCCAAAGGAAGATCCAAAAGAAGAAGTTGTTCAATTAAATGAGTCTGACGAATAAAAAAAATGAAATGAACGTTAAAACTTAGCTAGAACTCTTTTATATTTGTTTCTGTACTTTTTGATCTCGAATCTACTTGTTACAAGTAAAATAGAAAAATTTTTTCTTGTTTAGTTTTTTTTTTTTTTTCAATAAAATGATGTGTTTGAATTCAGTGAATTAAGTCAAAACAGATTTACGTCTAAAAGGACGAGACAGTTTGAATTATGATATACGTACGATTTTCATAGCAGTTAACGTCTGCGAAAATTGTAAATACGTACGTGCGTACGTTTACGTGTTTGTTTTTGTTTATTTTAAAATTACTATCCAATAATGGGAAGGAACGTCAACTAATGCTAAACGAACCAAAAAAAAAGAGCAAATTTTTTTTTCTCATGTAAAGAGAATAATGCTAATATCAGGATTTGTCATGTCTGTTAAAACGAGAGAAATAGTAAATAATCCTCGCCAATTTCGAAAAATTATATTTTAACATGTATTGAAATTATAAAGTTATTTCGCGGACTGACTTATATGAGCATTAACACCGTAAAAAAATATATAAAAAATTTTCGATCCAAAAAAAAAATTTTTTTTAACGTTATATAATTTATTCGAACTTTGGCATTTAGATCCCGTCCAAACCGACGAAAATCCATGTGTAACATCGTATTCTAAAATTCTAAGTATCATAAACCTTCTGATCGAATAAAATTTTTTATTCGAATTCGAACATATCGACATTTCGAATTTAAGATTATCCGAAATTCCAGGCACATGATAATGCTGCAACATTGATATAAAATATGTATAATAGTACAGTATATAGCATAAAAAAATGTTTATGTTAAAAAAAAAAAAAAAAACCTTGTGCTTACATTAGTAATCTTTACACGGGGCCATAAGTATACAATGAACTTTTTACCACTAAATCATATCAATTGAAAGG